GGTATGGAAGACCATTTAGTGAGTTTCCAAGAGCAAAATATTTCTCCTGATATTGTGGGGTTATTGTCGTCCCAAGAAATGCTATGTCTAGGAATTTGCAACAAAGTGGATATGGTTAAACTCCGAAATGAATGCATCACCTACGGTTTTCAGACACCTGAGCGGGAGCATACTGGTTGTGGTCCAGCAGAATTTGTAATACCAGGAAGTATAATGCAAAACCTGATTAATGATGGGTTTACTATAACAGAAATTTCCAGACTACTTTCTATATCTGAGAGTACTGTATATCGCAGAATGCGAAAATTTGGAATATCAAAACAAAGTTTTTCAGAGATGGGCGATGATGAACTAGACGAACATGTAACGAATGCATCTGAAAGTTTTCCGCATTGTGGAGAGAACATTTTAAGTCAAATACTGAAACAAAAATGTGTTAATGTACAGCGATGGAGACTTAGAGAAAGCCTACATCGTGTCAACGCAATGGGTGTAAAGGACAGAAGAAAAGGTCGTTTAAGGCGTAGGGTGTATGATGTGAAAGGGCCTAACCATCTTTGGCATGTAGATACCAACCATAAACTAATTCGTTGGCATTTAGTCATCGCAGGGGGCATTGATGGTTTTAGTCGTATGGTTATTTACTTGAGATGTCTGGACAATAATAAAGCAGATACACTTTTAGAATGCTTTCATGATGGCGTTTCTCGTTTTGGATTACCAGTTAGAGTGCGTTCGGACAAAGGTTTGGAAAATTCAGCTATTGCAGATTACATGATCTCTAACAGAGGGTCAGGTAAAGGAAGCATGCTAACAGGTAAAAGTGTTCACAATCAGAGAATTGAACGTCTGTGGAGAGACGTTTATACCGGTGTTCTTTCCTTTTTTTTACAAATTATTCTATCACATGGAGGACAACGGGATATTAGATCCACTGGACAATCTGCATATTGCAGCTCTCCATTATACATTTGTTCCACAAATAAACGAAAAGCTGAAAATCTGGGAAAAGGCCTGGGCTACACACAGAATGAGAACAACAAAATCATCCCCAAGTGGTTTATGGGATGCAGGACAACTTCAAAATCCTACAGGTATAGATTTTGTTGATGTCAATTATGGAACAGAAGGCTTTGTTCTGGAAGCTGACAATAATGATGAAGACGAGAGACCAATTATTTCGTCTGTGTCTAGTGGTATCATCACTGCAGGATGTAAAGAGCAGCTTGATAATGAAGTGCAAAGAGCAGGGAACTTAACAAATTTTGAGATAGATATGTACATGAAGTCTCTTCAAATCATAAAGAATCATCAATAAAATTAACCATATTCAATGAACCTTCAATGCAAATATCCACAGTACAAAACACAACAATAAATTTTCTGACATTTTATTCATTCTCAAAGACAATTCAGTGGTTTGAAATTAATTTGTGCATGCATTGCTGTGTTAAAAAAAAATGGTCATGAGCATAATCATAATAAAGAACTTATTAAATACATTAATTTTCACCTGAATACATTATCTGATGTATTTTAACATAAAATAAAACTTTTGAACAGAACAATCTAATATGTACCATGTTTGCGGCATACATTGCGTCCAGAACAAAAAGCCTATTGTCCTTAAAAGTCACCCGAGTATAAGAATCCATAGAAATGCAATTCAATAATTACACTACTGTCCTACGTAGTATTTCATTGGTTATGATGCATGGATAGAGAGATAAATGATCTAAACACTACTGAGTATTCAAGATATTGTAAAATTTGTGAAACATTGGGTAGGGTCATGGGGGAGGAGGATTAACTTATGATAATCCGAAGAGGCACTGTCCTGTGCATTATCAAATTGTAATCATGCATGAATAAAAATTACTAGGTTAATGAAGGTATCTAAAGAGTATTCAAGTTATTAAACAATTAATGGCAAGAGACCCTTGGGACACATCGCTCACCTGAGCACTTTGGCTGGGAAAAAGCAGGAAATTAATGAGTTCAGTACTGAAAAGTATAAATATGACCAATCACAGCTTTGCTGTTCTCAAGAAGGAGATTTTTAAAGATTTTTCCTATGTATTCCTATGTAAAACTTTGATCTCCCATTGTGACCCCACCCTATCCCCAGGGGTCATGATTTGAACAAATTTGAATCTACGTTACCTCACAATGATTCCACGTAAGTTTCATATTTACAAGCATAGTGGTTCTTGAGAAGAAGATTTTTAAATGATGCCATTATTTTTTATGAAATCTTAATTACTTCCCCTTGGAAGCAGGTGTGTCCTTTCTTTTGAACAAACTTGAATTCCCTTTACCCAAGGATACTTTGTGGCAAGTTTGGTTGAAATTGGCCCAGTGGTTCTTGAGAGGAAGATGAAAATTTTAAAAGTTTATGAGGAAGACGACAGACAGTGGACAAATTTTGATCAGAAAAGCTCACTTGAGCCTTTGGCTCAGGTGAGCAAAAACAGAAGTGGGGGCAAGTGTAAGATGATATGCCTCATATTTGTAATATGTTGTCCCATACTCCAATAGTTTTCTTAACATGCGAACATATTAAAAATATAAATGCATTTTCACCAAATAACCCCCCCAGCATCAGAACCCATAAACGGTGGCTATGAATTTCTCAATTTTGGTATAGACTACCTTGCTCATCCTAACTATTTAATCAGTTTACCTGCTAGACCTCCACAAGTTGAGAAGATTTTTTAAAGAATTACCAATGTATTAAATTTTCCAATAGACATGTATGATCAAAATGGCCCAGCCCTAACACCAGAACCCCCTGATCCAGGGGATCATAAATTTCGTAATTTTGGTAGAAGCTTCTTTACTCATCATAAATCAGTTTGTGTCTGCTAGATGTCCAGAAGTAGACAAAAAGATTTTTAAAAATTGCATAATTTTTTTTAGTTTTTACCCCAAATTTACACCCCCATGGAGGGATATGAATTTTACAATTTATGCCCCTTTCCCTACTTTTAAAAACATAAGACTTTATGTAATTACATGGTGGAGGCTAGTGCTGGGATTTCATTGCTGCTATTTCTGAGTCAAAAACCAAAGAAATTTTAGTTAATGCATTCATGAATTTGTGACCTTGACTTGAGATCTTTTAGCCTCAAAATTAATAAAGCTCTTCTACAAGTTATAGAGACATTATCTTAAGTTTCATTTAAAAACTCAAAGGAAACTATATATCACTTGGAAACCATTTCATACCCCCAGTATATGGATTTATGGCCTTGATTTTTGAATTTTGACCAAAAAATCAATAGCGCTCTTCATTGAGTCATAAGGAGTCATCTAGTAAACTTTCAATGCAAACTAGCAGGGATAATGTTATAGACAGAATGACGAACAGCCTGACCAAGAGACCCATATTAATATATTTACATGTACAGGCACAGTACACAGAAACAATGCTGTTAATTGACAGGCAAAACAGACCTCAAAAATTTGATGAGAATAACTTAACAGTAATTTACACATGATGTATAATGATATGAAAAATAAACAAGAAAGTTGACACCAAGTCTATGTATAAATGGATATTTCCCTCAAAAAACATGGGGTAAGATTGCTGAAATAATTTTATTTATTAATTTGTATGAAATATGAACCAAGAATACTGCATGAAAACAAGTACAGGAAATTCAGGACTGTATAAAACATCACATGTACGACATAATTAAGCTTCAATCTGACATAACTAGAAACAGAGATAAATTGGGATATCATATGTAAAATATGATAAATTTTCACAAGTCTGCATGACTAGGAGGTCTGAAACTTAAAAGTATGCCTATAGACATAATATGGATATCACATGTTACATGATTATGTCATACACCAGCATCATAAGGTTTATGGAGGCATACATAGAATATCATGTCAAACTTGCTAAAACATCATATGTCAGTATGACTAGTTTTTTTGAAATGAATGCCTTGAGGCCATAATGGCTACTGACCTTAAACTGAAAACGAGGCTATCTAGCTAAATATAGCATAATACATGTAAAATGAGGCACCCCCCCCCCCCCAAAATAACCTGTGACTAAAGGACCCTCTATACACTAGCGGAAAATATTTTTTGGACATTGAGAAAATAACAGTGTGTAAAGGTGTAAGTATTGAGCTTATCTATTACATTTTCAACATAGGGTGCCTTGCATTTACCCCCAGGAAAAATGTTCAAAGACAATGAAGTACTGATGAACATAAATCACTGTTGTTTACATAAGTGGGCAAAATACCTGCAAATGAAGTGTTCTATCTATTCATCTTGACCTATTAAAGTGGTATGAATGCTTGATTTGATCACAAATTAAGTAATAAACTGTACTTTTCAATTTATTTTATTCTTGATCAAAGGGCAGATCACTCTATCTGCACAAAAATACCACAAAATCAGAACTCTCTAGCGTGCAGTGTATAGAGGGCTCTTAATAATATTAATTTTCATGTCAATGGTCATTTTGTTTAAAATGTGATTTTTCATTTCAGCTATGTATTTGTAAACTAAAAACATAGCAGTCATTCAAACCTTGTTTACATAACAACGAATTGTGAGCTCTTCACTTGACATACAAATTCTGGTTAAGCATTAGAAATACATGTACCTAACATAAAGTATATATTGTAAATTGAAAATTAAGGACTTCTACAATCTCAACATTACTAACAATGGTATGGTTTTGCTAAAGTACAGTGTATATCATTATCAACCCCTTGACCTTTACAAAATGCCTCTGGTTGAAAAATGTAGTGCTTCCTATAATCACATTATACATTTGTACAAAGCTAGAGCCAAGACACAAGTTGGAAATTTAAAAAGGAAACCAAAAAACCCCTTCAGATTGCTTGACCTTAAATGATCTGAAAATGTCATTTGAACATGTTCATATAGATAATATTTTTACAAAGTTTGAGACAAATTAAAAAAAAAAAATCAGATGTATGCTTTAGATAAAAAATTAAGCTTACAGAAGATGGACAGGTCACATACATATACCAGACCAAAACTAGATGTGTTTGCAAGGTAATAATGAATGACTTGCAATAAAAATTGGCTAAAAAATTACCGCAAACCATAATAAGAATTTAAAAATGCGTAATCATACAATGCAAAAAGCTCTTTATCTTCAGGAAGATTTGTATCTATGCTTGGCTTTGGTCGTGGGAGTTGGAGGGAGTTGATGCATGTGTTCGCTGTTAGAATTAAGGAGTTAATCACTTCTGGAAACTGAATAGTAGGTGGTATTTGAAACCCTAGAACTGGCTCCTCATCAGCTCCAGTTACAAATTGTAAAATATTAGCAATGGATAAATGTTCTCTTCGACCACCTGCAAAAAATAAAATTACAACAATTGGATTTTACTTTCTTGTATATTGTTGCTCATAGAAAAATTAAAATCAAATTTTATTCACTCCACAGAATATAATATTGTTCAAGAGGTTTTTTTCCTGCGTGTTGCAAATTTTTGCAGAATTTTCCAATACACCATTATTCTTTATTTGTGTAGTCCTTTCTTTTGCAATTCTCCCAGTGGTTTATCAGAGTTATCTATGTAGTCTATGTGGTAAACACCTGCATGGGGACAATTTCATGCAAGTTTATTATTTTGCAATCTATTTAAACTGCTTGTAAAGAAAGCAAAAATTGGACTATCGCAAAAAAAAAAAAAAAAAACCACAAGATGTGTTTGTGAAACACTGATGACAGCTTTGGTGAAGGTTGAAGTTTTTCAAATGCAAGTCAAACTCAAAGGTCAAGGGGTGAAAAATTTTGTTACCCAAAGAAAGGGCTTATTCTCAATGAATATACCTGTGAACCAGAAGTCTCTGATGAGACTGTAGCTCTACTGGTTGTATTTATAAAGGAAGATAAAAGTAGCACTTGGACTTGAAACTTTGCAACAGCAATAAATAGAATAATGATCCTTGGTTTAGTCTCTTTTTGGCAAGATTTATTATTATATCAGACTAAAACTGTAGGAGGAGTAGCCTTTTAAAACAATTTTACTGAAATTTTGATTTAAGTAACCATGGCAACATCATTCAACAAAATCAAAAAACAATAACACCAATTATGTATCTCTGTAGTCTACTTGTATGCTAAGTAATACTAAAATCAGACCAAAACTGTAGGGGTAGCATTTTGAAGGTATTTCAAGGAAATTTCTATTTTTAGTAACCATGGCAACAATGTTCATCGAAATCAAAAACCGATACACAGAATTATGTATCTTAGTGTAGTCTACTTGTTTGCCAAGTTATATTGAAATCAGACCAAAACTGTAAGAGGAGTAGCATTTTGAAAGTATTTCACAGAAATTTCTATTTTTAGTTACCATGGCAACATCGTTCATTGAAATCAAAAAACCGATAAACAGAATTATGTATCTTATTATAGTCTACTTGTATGCCAAGTTATATTGAAATCAGATAAAAACTGTAGGAGGAGTAGCATTTTGAAAGTATTTCACAGACATTTCTATATTTAGTAACCATGGCAACATCGTTCATCGAAATCAAAAACCGATACACAGAATTATGCATCTTAGTATAGTCTACTTGTGTGCCAAGTTATATTGAAATCAGATCAAAACTGTAGGAGGAGTAACATTTTGAATGTTTTTCACAGAAATTTCTATTTTTAGTAACCATGGCAACACCGTTCATCAAAATCAAAAACTGATATGCAGAATTATGTATCTTAGTGTAGTCTACTTGTGTGCCAAGTTATATTGAAATCAGACCAAAACTGTAGGAGGAGTAGCATTTTGAAAGTATTTCACAGAAATTTCTATTTTTAGTAACCATGGCAACATCGTTCATCAAAATCAAAAACTGATACACAGAATTATGCATCTTAGTATAGTCTACTTGTGTGCCAAGTTATATTGAAATCAGATCAAAACTGTAGGAGGAGTAGCATTTTGAATGTTTTTCACAGAAATCTCTATTTTTAGTAACCATGGCAACACCGTTCATCGAAATCAAAAACCGATACACAGAATTATGCATCTTAGTATAGTCTACTTGTGTGCCAAGTTATATTGAAATCAGATCAAAACTGTAGGAGGAGTAGCATTTTGAATGTTTTTCACAGAAATTTCTATTTTTAGTAACCATGGCAACACCGTTCATCGAAATCAAAAACCGATACACAGAATTATGCATCTTAGTATAGTCTACTTGTGTGCCAAGCTATATTGAAATCAGATCAAAACTGTAGGAGGAGTAGCATTTTGAATGTTTTTCACAGAAATTTCTATTTTTAGTAACCATGGCAACACCGTTCATCGAAATCAAAAACCGATACACAGAATCATGTATCTTAGTGTAGTCTACTTGTGTGCCAAGTTATATTGAAATCAGACCAAAACTGTAGGAGGAGTAGCATTTTGAAAAATTGTTTACAGACGGACGGACAGACAGACAGACAGACGGACGGACGACGGACACATTACTATCGCATAAGCTCTTCTGGTCTCTGACCAGTAGAGCTAAAAATGAAAGCCCAAGCAATAACAAAAAAAGAAGTTATGACAAAGGTTAAAGTTTTTAAAATGTGGGGCATACTCCAAGGTCAAAGGGTCAAATTCAAGGTACCTAGGGGAAGACCTTGTCATAAAAAATATATATGTGAAATATTAAAGAACTAGCACCAACTGTTCAAAAGTTATGGCCAAGGTTATTTTTTTTCAAAAATAGATCAAAGTCCAAGGTCAAAATTGTTGGTATTCAAAGGAAGGCCTTGTCACATGAAATACGCCTCTGAAATATGAAGGCCCTTGTACTAACTGTTCAAAAGTTATGTTCAATGTTAGTTTTTTTCAAGTGGGTCAAACTTCAAGGTAAAGGTCAAAAGGTCAAAAATATGTATATCATTTGAAAGGTCTTATCACAGTAAATACACGTAAGAAGTATGGAAGTCCTAGCACCAACTGTTCAAAAGTTATGTACAAGGTTAAAGTTGGGTAAATTATTGGGTCAAACTCCAAGTTCAAGGTCAAAAGGTCAAATATGTTGGTACCCAAAGAAAAGACCTTGTCACAAGGAATACACATGTGAAATATGAGAGCCATAGCTCCAACCAATCAAATATTATAAGCAATGTTAAAGTTTTTGCGGATAAACATACAGACAGATGGACAGGTCAAATACTATATACCCCCGAATCTTCAATACGGGGGTATAAAAATAATTTTTAAAAATGAAAAATAAAATACACCCACCTCTGCACCCTTATGTTTAATGCAAATCAGGATGAGAATCTAATATATATCAAGTTTATGTGCCTAGCACTAATTTATGAATTTCTAATTTAAAACAATTTTACAGACTTGAAATCTTACTTGCAACTTCTCTTAAATAACGGACAAATGCTGCATAAACTTTCTTCTCCACTTCAATGTTGTTGCTACCCTCTAATGAAAACTGAGGTTTCAAAAACGTTGTAAGCATCCTGAATGTCAATGGTATAGAATGTTTTTGGAAAAGGTAAAGAAAACTTGGCAGCTGCATACCAATCTGAAAAAAAATATACAACAGATTAAACATGTTTTTGGGGAGTTACTATTATAATCAATCTTGAACAGGATGTTTAACATGTTTAAACTTCAACATTTCTCAAAAGACAAGAAAAAATGTTTTAGAAACATGTATGCCCCAATGTGGTAATATTGTAATGGGTCAACTTTTTTCACACAGTACTGTAGTGTACTGTGAGGGTAAAGTAGAGGGTGTACAAAAAAAAAAAAAAAAATCAGGACTTTTGGTATAAAAAAAATCAGGACTTTTGGTATAAAAAAAATCAGGACTTTTGGTGTATAAAAAATCAGGACTTTTTTAATCAAATATTTGAATATATTCAAATACACTTATTAAAATATTCAGATATTGAATCATGGGCAATACTTTACATTCTTCTGAAACAACAAAGAATGCATTATATTGTTTATACATGTACATTCTTATATCATTATTTATATATAAAGTTAGCAAAAGTTATAATGTTTATTATTGGTATGTTATATAACTGTTATATAAATGAAAGTGTCCTTCACTGTGCAGTTGGCATATTAGTTTTATCTAGTTTTAACTGGATATATACAGTATACCATATTTTTTTTGGATTGATTGGCTGTATGAAAATGCAAAGATTATCTGAAGAGTTATAGGAGTTAATACTTAGTGGATGTACACACACATGTATGTGGTGCCACTTTAGCACCAATGGCTACATTGGCATTGGTTATCAATTATTATGCCCCTGGAATGTAGCATTTTGGCCTAACTATTTATTGCAAAAACTTTCAACTGTTTGAGAGAAAGTTTTGATATTTTGCTGGTGGATTAAATTTCTTGCAATATTATTCTTCTCCTTAATTAGTATATGTATAAACATGTAGTGCCACATTCTATGCATTTATCTAATACCAAAACATTGATGGTTTCTATGTTATACTGCCTGTAAAATAAGTTTGTTCTTTTCTGTCAATTGTCTAGTCTTAGAATATTAATTGAAACTAAATAATTACATTGTATGAATACTACATGTATAACCGTAAAACATTCAAAACTAGAAATCATTACTTACAGGAACTAATTTTATATTAATTAGACTATTAGTCATGGAATAAAAGTTTGCTACTACTAAATATATTTTTTTCAAAAACCAAACTTATTAAAAAACTAGAAATATGTCCATAGGACATGAATGTGCCAAGGATATATTAGTAATGCAACATGAAAATTTGTTTTAGTGTATGAAATTTGAAGAGAATATCTTGAATAGTTTCTTTAAAATTGAAATTGAAATCTAAAAAGTTGGATATAGATGATAAATTCTTGTCAAATTATAAGTGCATAAACTTACATAAATATATCTTAAATGGTTACTTTTAAATTAAGCAAAATACAAATCTAAGAAAAGTGAGGTCAAGGTCACAGGAAAGTTCAAGGTCAAATGTTTTGATGCAGTTGAATACTTCTCACAAATATGTATCAGCATATTTGAGTTTGATAAAAATATTTTGAATGGTTTATTTAAAACTGAGCTAAATACTAATTTAAAATAAATGAAGTTAAGGTTTAAAGAAAGGTCAAGGTTGAAAAATGTTGATGCAGTTGAAAAGGTTACATCAGTATGTATTAGCATATGAAGTTTGATAAAAATATTATGAATGTTTTCTTTAAAACTGAGTTCAACACAAACTGAGAAAAGTGAGGTCAAGGTCAAAGGAAAGGTCAAGGTCAAAAAATATTGATGCAGTTGAATAGCTTACATCAGTATGTATTAACATATGAGTTTGATAAAGATATCTTGGATAGTTTCTTTGAAACTGAGCTTTGAACAGAGCTAAATGCAAAGTGTGACGGAAGGACAGACGGAAGGAAAGAAGGACGGAAGACAGACATGACAAACACTATGTGCCCCAGCCATATTCATGGCGGAGCATAAAAAATTACTGTATACAATCCCAAAGTCTCAAGTCCTTGTCTCAAACTTGTGATGCATGGATGATCTGTGGAATCAGAAAATATCTTCTGGATTACCTCTGGCTCCAGGAAAGTTGGAATTTTGCCATTTTGTAGAATACTTAAAGCTGAAATACAGCAATACAATTATCACACACTTGCATTTTAACTTCAAAGGTCTTCCACTACATCCTATATCATAATCATATTATATAAAACATAATTGTGAAATGTGTACAACCTATTATGAAGATTTCCCTCTGGTTTGCCACCACTCTTCCTTTTGGGAATCAGTTTGAATTTCATCAAGATAATTTGTTCTGAGTTAATTTCTAAGAAATTAGAATTGTCCCATGTAAATGAACTCCCCTGTGCAAAGCTGTTTTGTTAAACTACATTTGTCGTAACACCACGAATGCCCCCGTAGGCAGACAAAATTTCAAATGCCATATTTAGTTTCAAATTTGTTTGCACAAAAGTTTTTTTCTGAAGTTCAAGAAGGATAACTCTGTCAAAAATCATCGGACCTTGACCAAATTTGAACTTTACCTGCATTTTCCTATGACATATCCATATATCAAATTTTATGTCGGGGGCATAAAAAAATTTAAATTTAGGTTCAAATTCAAAATCCGATATATATGGTACATGTAATTGTGAAGAATATATGTGCAAGTATGAACTTTTAATTGGCTGATGGTAAATTGCCTGACACAGCTTTTAGCTATAGCAACTATCATAACTAAAATCCTTCATAAAAAAAAGTATCACAGATGATGATTACAAAGTACACTGAGAATCAAATTTTATAATACAAACCAGAAGTTTTTCCAACAACTTCATAATCTTCATAAAGTAATTCCCTAAGTCCACTGTCAAAATACTTCTCCTTGATTGCCTGTAATATTAAGCGGAAAAACTCCTTCCTGGGACCGCCATAATCTACAGCTGTCTGCAACAAAAAGTAACATATTGCATTTCATTACATCAATCAAATGTACTTATATAAATTTGTACCAATACATTTATACAGTATGCACTATCTACATGTAATTTAATCATTTTATGTACATGTACAGATGGTTAGGTAAACACTTGTATTAATCTCATAGTGCATAGAAAAATTAGGCCAACCAAAAAAAATTATCTAGCAATATACAGAAAAAAAAGTAGGTAGGTTTGGTTAACTTGGTTTTTATATACAGTAAAAAATGCTTATAACGAAGTGCCAGGAATGGACGATTTTGCTTCATTATAAGCATAATTCGTTATATATATCTGTTAAGTTTACAATATATTTTAAGTCAAGGGGAATGAAAACCACTTCCCTATAAGCATCATTTCATTGCAAGCATGTTCGCTATAAGCATGTTGTTTTACTGTATCCCGTTTACTGAGAGCATAAATCCATCTGTCTGTATCAAGACTTATGATATGTACACTGTTTCTGAACATGGCAAATTCAAACTTCATATATATATTATATATATAATCAATAGTGTTGGTCTCTAAAACAGTTACCTTACCAGAGTTCTTGAAATCTTTTTTCCGCTGTCAGTCATTTGGACTGACTGCAAGGTGAAGTTTGTCAGTCCAGACAGATTTCTATCAGTCCAAAAAAAAAAATCAATAAAAAGATGAAAACTGTATTTGAATTTTATAATCAATACATTTTGCACCCTGCGTCAATACACACTGTACATTTCATGCCGATTTGATTATATCGTATAACAATTTTTATTGAATTCTCGTGGGGGTCAATTTTCTTCTTAACATTTATCAATCATAGTTTGGCACTTGCGTTCATTGAAGAAGTCATTACGAGATACAGAAAAGCGTTTAACAGATTACAATCGGTCAGTTATAGGGAATTCGTAAGAAATTTAGTCGGATTTTCGCAAGTTGCTCTGTCAACATCTACCGGTCATTTGGACTGACACAGAACCTAAAGTAATCAGTCCTTAGTTGTTTTTATCAGTCTTGTCAACACCGAAAGATTTCAAGAACTCTGTCTTACTCTGTGATCTTGTAATTAGTTTTGTTAATGTGCACTCATTTACTCCAGGAACTGCAGTGGGTGTAAAATTTTACAAATTTTACATCTGGTTTGTAATTTTTTTTTTTGGCATACTAGCTAGCTGTTTGTTAACAATTTTGATGCATTTTGGAGATACATGCACAGAAATATCAAGATGAACAATTACTTATCTTTTTGCAGAAAGTCCCATTCATATACAGGTACATGTAATAAATATGTAATATAATATATGTATATATATAATAAATGTAATAAATAAATATATATATACAGGTACATGTATGCACACATTCTCACAGATGTTGCAGGTTTTACTCCTGGTGTGTTAATGTAATTTTGAAATGAGCAAACTTCAGTTTTGTGTAAATTGGTATCAAGTGGGCAGATTGCAGACAATATGGAGGTGTTTTGGGGATATTAAAAGAGGAAGATACTTCTAATATTATGTTGCCCAAGGTGACCAGAAGTCATCTGTTCACAAAAAATAAAGCAGGAGTAAATTTACTTATATGTGAAAGTTTAGTTACTAGTAATTTGTACCTTAAGGCTGACTAGATGCAAATTTTGCACTAAGAATAAAGGAACTCATATGCAAATCATCCCCCCCCCCCGTTAACATACATCATTCAAAATACATCCGTACATGGTAAATGAGTGCATTCAACAACACAATACACAACCAACCTCATCATAAAATTGTACTTCTAAAGTTTTTCGGACATCACTGATGGCTTTGACTTCATCAAAACCAGTCTCCAACAGATGGGTCCTGTCAATTAAAATAAAGTTTGTATCACCCTCAGAATTATGTGTTACATCATTCACTTCTAAAGGCCTTCCTGTGACCATTTCTTTCTGAACTTTGTGCAAAATTTCAACCGGATCTGCAATATTTTGTACTTTACAAAACTCAATAATTCTACTGGACACATCTGAAACAGTTTCAACATTTTGCACAGATGGTGGTGAAACTTCGGGCACAGTGAGGCTGCTGATGTGGTTACCTTCTATGGTACTTTCTAACAACAATTCCTGGTCTTGAAAAATAACCACTTCTTCAACATGCATTTCCTGAGAGCTTGCTGTGTTAGTCTGCATGGTCTGTGGAAGAACATTAATATTCAAAATGTCTGTTGTTGGCACATCATTCACTGTGTCAGCTTCCTGACATGTTTCTGTGTGTTTCCTCAGTTCCCGTAGTAAAAAATTCCTCCCACATGTTACACACTTTTCTTCTAAACTTAATTCACCAGACTTCTCATGAGGATTAACTATAGAGGCAGTGGACAGATTTTTTTGGATTGGCCTTATATATATTGTTGCTTGGGGATTAACATTTTTCTGCAGTTCTTTTGCTGACCATGAGCAGTTTATCAAAGTTAATTCTCTGTAGTTCTGGGTGCTTCTCAGTAATTCAAAGCCACCCCCCTCAGCTAATTTTGGAAATCCTGCAATTTCCCCATCTTCATTTAATTCTTGCGAAATAAGTTTAGCCGCCAATTCATTTTCATCATCTGATTTTTTTTAAAACAATTTTTTTCTTACCAAGTCCAGCTTTATTCAAGACTTCTTTTTCCAGTGCATTTGGGACACATTTTTGTCCTCTATGGGCCAGGCATAAAAAATGCATCGTGATAAACTTGTCTTTTATGCGCATCTTTTTCCCAGGTTTATGTCGATTATGAGGACTAAACAGGCGCGATCGTTCGCTGCTAGAAGGTTCCGTCATTTTTCCATGCACACGTTTTTTAAATTTATGTCGTAATCCGATTGTTTCAATCCCAAGTCTTTTCAATTCGTCGTCCGATAGCATCTCTATCATGTCAATTGATATGTTTTCCCTTTCGAAATTGGGATACACGCTAGGTATCCCCAGCTCTACCAGACATTCCCGCAGGCCATCCATCTTGACTTTTAAACGTTTTGGCGCGATAATTTCCGAAGGAACACATTCGGAACACAACGACATAATATATAAAGTGGACTTAATGATATAAATTGTGTACTATATATTATATGAAGTGAACTTAATGATATAAATTGTGTACTATATATTATATGAAGTGAACTTAATGATATAAATTCTTTACTACATATTATAAAAAGTGGACGTAATGATATAAATTCTTTACTACATATTATATAAAGTGGACATAATGCTATAAATTGTGTACTACATATTATATGAAGTGAACTTAATGATATGAATTCTTTACTACATAATATATAAAGTGGACTTAATGATATAAATTATGTACTACATATTATATGAAGTAAATTTAATGATATAAATTCTTTACTACATATTATAAAAAGTGGATGTAATGATATAAAATCTTTACTACATATTATATAAAGTAGACTTAATATAAAGAATAGACTTAATGTTATAGGCATCAGACTATATAGTATTTTAATTTGACAACATATTATAACTTCTTTACTACATATTATATAAAGTGGACTTAATGATATAAAGGATAAACTTAATGTTATATAAAATTGACACTATGATGCATATTTTTTACTACATATTATGTAAAGCTGACTTAATGATATAAAGGATAGACTTAATGTTATATAAAATTGACACTACGCTGCATATTTTGTACCCTTAAGACAGCTGTGGCGTTCCATAATTTTGGCATATACAACAACAAGTGTTAACATAATGCATATTTCAAATGACTTCAGTGCTTAGGGCATATACATGAAAGAGGATTGTTAGAAAAGTTTGCGGACACATTGATTTACGGAAAATTTACTGTGCACTTTGAAAAATGACATTTATCTGATTAAATTCTTATATTTTGTTTGTTTATTAGTATGTAAAAAATCAGGTCCATTTACTACAATTTTGAAAATATATGACTTTTACTGTGCAGTCAAAGAATTCACGAAGCAGGCATTTGATGTTTTTTGATGTTAGGTGATGTGACAACCTGATTCCAAACCTGCTGAGCTTTTCACAGCTATAAATACCTTTCAGTTTTATCATTTACATGTCTTTTCCCTCTTTAAAATTGAATAACTCTAGCAAATCATGTTACTTTTTTCTATTGTTGGGTATCAAATATTAGTGAGATCTTAAGATCTATGTCTACACAGTAAAGCAATAGGTATTGAAACAATGCAAAATCCATAGGTGCAACATCCATGCGATAAGCGGTGTACTGGGATATCGCATGGACTGGGTCATCAAAAATGTTAATCCTTCCATTAACAAAGCTACTACTATTTGAACACTTTTGTCCTAGATATGTATAAACAATCCCTGAAGCATCTTAAAACATTTTAGTCTCTTTTGGGTATTTTCCTGTCTGAAGAAATATTTGTTTAATAGCTCAGTGCTCTCCAAGACTTTCAATGACATTGTAATTCTCAACTTTGTGTTTTTGCATTGATCATCTATAATTAGCGATGAAACAGTCATAACCCCTCTAATTTAATTCAAAATTTTGCAACATGCCCTCTCTTGAATATTGTAGTGACATGTAAAATATCATTAATTTTTTTGCACTACAACAGTGCAATTTTTTATCTCAAGAAATTGGTCTGATTTTAATATAACTTTGATTACAAATAGACAACTCTAAGATACATAATTCTTTTTTATCTTTTTAGCTCTTGTGAGCCAAAGGCTCAAAGAGCTAATGCTATGGCCATTTGTGCGGTGTACGTCAACTTTTTAGCTCACCTGAGCTGAAAGCTTAAGTGAGCTTTTCTGATCACCAGTTGTCCATCATCTGTCTGTCTGTCTGTCCGTCTGTCTGTAAACTTTTCATATTTTCATCTTCTTCTCAAGAACCACTGAGCCAAATTTAACCAAAGTTGGTACACAGCATCCTTGGGTGAAGGGGAGTTTAAATTTTTAAAATGAAGGACCAACCCCCTTTACAAGGGGAGATAATCAAGAGAAGACAAAAATAGGGTAGGGTCATTAAAAAATCTTCTTCTCAAGAACCACAGGGCCAGAAAAGCTGAAACTTATATGGAAGCATCCTGGGGTAGTGTAGATTCTAAATTGTTCAAATTATGGCCCCCGGGGATAGGGCGGGGCCACAATAGGGAATCAAAGTTTTACATTGAAATATATAGGCAAAATCTTTAAAAATCTTCTTCTCAAGAACCACTGAGCCAGAAAAGCTGAAACTTATGTGGAAGCATCCTGGGGTATTGTAGATTCTAAATTGTTCAAATCATGGCCCCAGGGGTAGGGTGGGACCACAATAGGGAATCAAAGTTTAAAATATATAGGCAAAATCTTCAAAAATCTTCTTCTCAAGAACCACTGGACCAGAAAAACTGAAATATATGTGGAGTCATCCTGGGGTAGTGTAGATTCTAATTTGTTCAAATGATGGCCCCCGTGGGTAGGGTGGGGCCACAATAAGTATTACAAGTGAGGGAGGGTCTGGCGAAGAACAGCAGGGCCAAAGTAACTCAGGTGAGCGTTGTGGCCCATGGGCCTCTTGTTAGAATATGGGCCATAACTCAAGAACCCCTTGGCCAATTATTGTCAAATTTGTCACAGTGTATCCATGGCCCAAGGGCTCCTGTTTATAGTAAACTTAGGGTTGTGACCCTTAAACAAGGGGAGATAATTAGGTTAATAAAACCAAAAGTACTGGTTGCTAAAATTTGCAGTGTTTTCAATAAGAGCTGGCAACCAGCAAAATTAACCACCTGTACGAAAAATTTTGCCGGCTATGAAATTTCCGTAATTGGGATTTTTATACGCCCGTCTTAAGACGGGACGTATTATGTTATAGCCTTCATGTCCGTCCGTCCGTCCGTCCGTCTGTTAGCTTTTTCGTGTCCGGCTCATAACTTTAATACTATTAGACCTAGAATTATCAAACTTTGTCAGCTGATACTTCTTGGGTAGAAGGTGTGTCGCGCATTAAAAGTAGGTCGCTCTGACCTTTAATTAAGATGCTATGGCCAAATATGGAAAAATCCTGTCCGGCTCATAACTAGAAAACTATTAGAATTAGAATCATCAAACTTGGCCAATTTATGCATCTTAGGTAGAAGGTGTGTCGCAACCTATTTCAAGGTCACTGTGACCTTTAATTTAGTGAAATTTAAAAAAAAACTGTGTCTCTATACTGTTAAATTACACAATCCCCAAAAATGTAAGAATGTTGCAGTATCCTTATTAAAAAAATGTTAAATCAAGAAAATACTTATTTTTTTTCATGATATACTTTACAGCAATCTATAACAAATGTAATGTTACAAGAGAAATTCCACCTCTCCCATGGGTGTAATCATCAAGCACTGGTCAAGGAGAATTTTGATAACAGAAAATTACATGTCAAATTAGAGAGAAATTAATGAGTTTAGTGTGAGGAACTAACTGGTAGAGCATCTCTGATCAAGCAGGTGTTATCTATATCTCCTGGGAATTGGGCAAAAGAATCAGCCTTGGATGAATCTAGGTGGCTAGCCTTTTAACTTTTAAAATGTATTTGGTGAAAAGTAATTAAAACTAACTTGATATTGTATAATAAACTAATTTGATATTATATAATATACTTGGGGGGGGGGGGGGGGGATATTGGAATCAGCATGTCGGGTTGTCTGTTTGTCAATATGAACTGCAGCTTAAAACCAGTCTGACATTAAATCTCAAAGAAATCATCAAGTATTTTATAAAAAAAATGTTTTATGGTAGATAGTTCCTACAAATCTAAGAGTCATGCAGTAACCTTATTAAAAATACTGCATCAAGTTTACACAAGTTTTTGTTTCTTTTTGTAAATCTTTGTAACAAGTTAAAAAAAAATCTGTTTTCAACGGAATGACATAAATATATGCATTTTTATTACAATACAGACTTTTAAAGCAGATAGTGCAGATCCATTCATCCCTTTGGAGTAATGAATGGACATGCATCCAGTTGAAGATTATAATTAATTAGTTCAATGTATAGGAAGGCTAGCTGTCTCAAGCATTTCTGTTAGAGCATCTCTGATCAAGCAGCTCTTATCCGTATCCTTTGGGAATTAGACAGAAAAACTGCTTGTCAATTTATAGCATATGTCATTTGATGGCCAGCCTTTTATTTTCAAAATTAATTTGGTATATATTAAATTGTTAAGACTATTTTGATATTGTTTAATATGAAATTTTTTTTTAATTTTTTGAAAATATCAAATAAATATGAAAGGGGGGGGGGGGAGGGAGGGGGCTGCAGATGGGCATTTGTCAAGGTCTATCACAACCAGTTGAGAAATTTATTATAATTAGTGCCTGCACTACAGGAAATGTATAAACATAAAATATTATGAGGAATGGAAAAGTCATGGAAATCTTTGAATTAAGGTTGACATGATTTTCTTGCACCCTAAACTGTTTATGATATTGAACAATATTTGACGGGCGTATCATGCTGTGGCGGGGCACTTT